ATACATCAGTGAGTTCGGATACAAAAATCGCTCGTCAGATTATTTCTGGGAAAGTTAGAGGATAAAAGATGGCTGATCGAAGTGAAATACTTGGATAAAAGACTGATGAAGAGATCTATTATCAGAAGTAAGTGGAAATCATAGCCGCACGCACCATTGAAGCAAACATCTCCGTTGCACGGATTAACGCGAATTTCACAACTATGCCCCGTCCAACCAGTCGGACACTGGCACACGAAGCCATCGGAAAGGTCCTTGCAAACAGCTCCATTTCGACAAGGATTATCCAAGCACGAAGTAGCTTTCAGCTGACACTGTCGACCACTGTAGCCTCTGGGGCACAAACACGTGTAATTACCGCCTTTCTCCTGCAAATCAAGCCATTCAAAAAACAACAACTTTCAAATTTGCTCCTCACTGTTGTTAGATTTGAAAGATCGCATTGGTTCGAAAACACCCGATAACGTTGTCGCTTTACGATGGCAAACATAAAATTGAAAGGTTCCATTTGAACAATGCTCAATTACAGCCGAAAGTACAAACCAGACAGGTGCCTCCATTAAGACAAGGTTGTGCGCTACAATCACGTGTTTCGATTTCGCAATTGACACCCGAATAGCCATCCGAACATTCACAAGTGTATTGTCCATGTCCAGTGTTTAAACACATCGCACCATTTTTACACGGTCGATGGCGAGTGCAATAGTTTAAGTCTGCAATATTCACATAAACATCTAGCAGAATCGAATCACATCACATAATACATCGTTATGAAGTGAAATTGATGTCTGAAAGCATACAATTCCTGGTACGAAGAGAATAAAATCGATGGCAATTCTGATAATAATCTCGTAATAATCATAACAATGCCATAAAACAAGCAGTGTACCTTCACTGCAGAAGTGACCTCCCCATCCTTCGTCGCAAATGCATTCGTTCGGTAAATTGCACGTGCCGTGCTTGCAACCCGGATATCGAACACACTGAAAACGAACAGAATGGTGTGCAATTATCAATTTGAGATGGCTGTCCCCTACTGCACGTTCGACTTGTTCAAAAAAAAGTTCCACTCAATTTTTTGCCGTGTTTGAAATCGCTCGATATCGCTACTGTTAAGGTCGAATGCGGTGACAAACAACGCAAAAAAAATTTTTTTATACAAAAGAAGTGCGTACTTGATCACAGCTCGTACCCATCCATCCACTCTTACATCTGCAGAATCCCGGTCGTTCACAGAAGCCGTTAACGCAGCTTTCACACAGTGCTGAAGCTTGAAAAGCTCTTTTAAGCGCTGATAACAACCAGCATATAACATCCCAAAATGATAGCGATACCTTATCAGCAACGTTTTTTTGCAAATTCCATGCATTATTCGATATGTTCAAGAGTTCACTTGCATGTAAACACTCACATTTATTTACAAATGCAGCAAATTGATCAATCAAACAGAAACATACGGGTCATTTCAAAGAGACTGCATTCGAGATGGGAATTTCTATGAACTGAAGCAGTGAAAGTTATTAAAAGAAAGAATTCCATATTTTTGAGGAACTAAAACTTGATGCGAAACACTTCAATAGCGAAGCGACAATAATCTTATAATAAGATTGTCGTTTATCAATTGAAACTTTAGACATGAACTTGATTCAATTGCAATGAATGCGTTATTTTCAGTGAATGAACCCTTCAATGAAGCGTCAGGTCGTAATCCC